GCACAGAGCCCGACACAGGGCTCAAACTCACAAGCCGTGAGATCATGACCTGAGCTGAAGTTGGATGCTTAACCGACTGAGCCACCCAGGTGCCCCTCTCTTTCCTTCTTTATGGTCCCTGTTCTACTCAGTTTCAATGTTACTGTCAGCAATTTCTCCTTAGTGTGGGACCTTGTCTTGGAAGCAAGATCTGCTGGGTCATTTTCAAGAGTTCATGGAAGATAGACTTCTCCATATCTTTCGGACCCTCTGGTCCTTTGTATTTACCCAGTTTTTGTTGGAGTGAAAAACCCCTCCCATTTCAACTGCTGTCCTTAAACTGGACTGCCACATGCTTAGTGAGTACTTGTTTGTTGTTTGGGGATTCTGCTGTTTGTCAGCTCTTTCAGATGATCTGTCAATGCTTCCTGCTTTCTCCTACACAGATGCCAATCACATGCCCATCTTGTGGTTATGAGTGACTTGCCCTTACTGTTTTTCTTGTGAAGTTCATGGGGATGTGCTGTCGCCTGGCTTATTGAAAATGTTGCTCATGAGGTTTTTTTGGTGTGTTATTATTGAAACATACATGTACACATAGACACAAACATAGCATTGCCCAAAAAAATTTCACATCTGAACACATCCATGTAATCGGTACTCAGATTAGATGCAAACACTAACTCCACAGAAGTCCCCCTTAGGTCCAATTCCACTCATGATCCCCCACTAAGGGTAAACATTATGCTGGCCTTTGACCAGCATATACAAGTTTCACCTGCCTGTGTACTTAATATGAATGGAATCCTACAGTATATCCTGTTTTGTGTCCGGCTTGTCTCAGTCATAATTACATTTGCAAAATTCTGCCATATTTGCCACTGGTACCTCAAAAACTAGAGTTAGTTTAACTTTTGCTAAACAATATTTTGTTATGTCAACACACCAGAATTTCTTTATCCATTCTATTATGTAAAGGCATTTGAGAAGTATCCAGCTTGGGGTATCACAAATAATGCTGCTATGAACATTCTTGCACAAGCCTTTTGTGGACATACAGTCTCATTACTCTCAGGTATGTACCTATGAGCAAAACCGCCAGGCCATGAGGGTACACATACGGGCGACCTTTGTGCATCACCACCACCACCTCTAGATTCTCCACATCTTTATTTTTTCTTTTCTTCTATTTACTTTGGGTTTCTTTTGTTCTTGTTTTTCCGAATTTCTTAATGTAGAACCATAAGTGATTAATTTTATCTTTCTCTTTTTCCTAACATAAGCACTAAAAGTCCTACATTTCCCAGTCAGCACTGCTTTAGTCGTATGCCACAAATTGTAATGTATTTTCATTGTTACTCAGTTAAAAATATTTTCTCACTTTCTTTGTGATTTCTTTTTTGACCCATGAGTTATGTAGAAGCATGCTTTTTAATTTAAAAATATTTGGAGGGGTAGGGGCACCTGGGTGGTCTCAGTCAGCTGAGCTTCTGACTTTGGATCAGGTTATGATCTCAGTTTGTGAGTTCGAGCTGCACTTTGGGCTCTGTGCTGACAGCTCAGAGCCTGGAGCCTGCATCACATTGTGTCTCCCTCTCTCTCTGCCTCTCCCCCACTCATGCTCTGTTTCTCTCTCTCTCAAAAATAAACATTAAAAAAAATTAAAAAAAAGTATTTGGAGGGGCGCCAGGGTGACTCAGTCAGTTAAGCGCCCAACTTCAGCTCAGGTCATGATCTCA